GGGGGGGGGGGGGGGGGGGGGGAGGGAGGGGAGAGGAAAAGAAAGAGGAACGAAAGAAGAGAACAGCCACCCTCTTCTCTTGTCTTCCCTGCCCCCTTTCATCTGGCTTCCCCTCCCCAAACCCCCCTCAATTTGGTGTCCAGTCCTCCCCCCCTTCCTTCTCCCTACATCACCCCCACCACATCCTCAATGCCTCTCTGAACAACATATAGGGAGAGAGCGGGAGGAGGAGGAGGAGGAGGTGGTGGTGGTGGAGGAGGAGGAGGAGGAGACCCGGGGAGGCAAAGAGAAAGAAGAAGATGAGGATTATTTGCAGACAGCTTGTCTTGTTGTTTTCTGGATTTTGGGGACTTGCAATGGGCGCTTTTCCTAGCAGCGTGCAAATAGGTAAGCGCTGCATTGGGCTGGAGGGGGGGGGGGACCGGCAGGGTGGTGAGGGGAGGCACGGAATGGAGGGAGAGGAGAAAGTGGAGGGGGCAAGTCTGACTGAGCCACACCAATTTCGGAAAGAGGGGATCAAGTGTCCCTGAGTGCCCCTTTCCTGTCCCCTCACATGTCTTTGTGAAGGCAGGGATGCGGGGTGGGCTGGTGGTGGTGGGAGACTGACGGCTGTGTCCCTTATAGTCCGCAGAGGTAGACGGATGTGTGCAGTGTGTGTTCAAACTTGGGAAGATGTTCCCACCTCTGAAATGCACCGTTTCTTCAGGATCCTCTGTAAACCCCCTCTTAGCCCAGCCTGCACATTGCAGTAAGCTATTTGTTGAGGGGCTGGGGCAGGGGGCAGTGGCGGTGGTCTACCACTGTTAGGTAGTCTTGGATGCCGCTACTTTGAAACTTGGCTATTATTTCTTTTTAAACATTTCCACCAGAACCCCCACCCCACTCGCCTCTGCCCCGTTCCAATTGCCTTCGGTTTCTCCTTCTTTGGATGGGACGCAGCCCTTGAATCCCTTCCAGTTCCAGCTATACCACTGCATCATTTCTCATGCGCTCCTAAAGATGCTGTTAATAAGGCTGAGCAACTTCCTGCCTGCCCATAGGCTGCAGAGGAGCAAAGTTCATGATGTTCTTCCCCCAGATTCTTCTTACTCTTTCCTAATACAAATATGTATCAGCCAGCAAAAACAGAATGCATGTCTCTGGGTGTATGAGTGCATAAGGTGTCCTGAATGCCATACTTAGAAACCTTTGCCTATGTTTTGATAGCTCTGTTCTCCTTATTCTGCCTGCTGCTTTAGATGGGGAGGGCCAATTTAGCTGCGTTCACGTAGATAAAAGCTAAATGGTTTCAAAGGTCATTCTCGTCCTAGCGGATATGAGAAGAAAGGAGAAATGGGAGATTTGAAAATCCCATCTTAAAAAAAAAAAGCAAAACCCGATCAGGAACTGGGGTTCTAAAAGTCTCCCAAGCTTTGAATCTTTATGTTCATAAACATGCATTTTATTATTAATATGAAGAAAGCTATTTACAAGGGCTGGCACAAAAAATAACTGACACATTTCCCTCCTTCTCTTATATATTTACTGATAGGTGGTCTCTTCATCAGAAACACAGATCAGGAATATACTGCTTTTCGATTAGCAATTTTTCTTCACAACACCAGCCCCAATGCATCTGAAGCACCTTTTAATTTGGTTCCTCACGTAGACAACATTGAAACAGCAAATAGCTTCGCTGTAACAAATGCCTGTAAGTAAAATAATCATTTATCTAAAGTTATGATCACATGATAGTGAATTAAGGCACTGCATACTTGCATCCCTTAGGGGGAAAAAAACCTTGAATTTTTAAGTCCCATGCCCTGGATGCATTGAAACCCTAGTTAGTTTCCGTTGTTGGTGAAATCCCTTAGGCTGACTTGTATTGACTAACTGGATATGGCATTTACTTTAGTGTTATTACTGTAGTTTCTTACTTTCGGGTTTCTATGGTGATACATTTTGTAGTTCTTTAAAAAATACGAATGTCTTGATCAATTTTGCAGCCTCCACAATCTCTCCTGTATGCCAACAAGATAGGGCATCCTTGGCTGTCTTTGGAAAGTAGCCCTGATATTTGCAATCAGAAGTGCTTTCTAATCACTGAGAACAGAAAGGAGGCTGTGAAAGCGGTGATGTGCATGGTTATATATTGGAGTGACTTGACACTGCAGTTGGTCTGCTGATGTCACTTGTGGCTGCCCTGCTCCTTTATTCTGGGTTGTAAATGTCTCTTATTATCTCGTAATGCATACATCCTCTGGATATGTCTCCATACATCCATACATTGGTGTCAAGTCAAGTTAATGTCTGATCTACTTGAGTGAACACATAACTGGAATTATGCCCCTGTATATATGCACTTATGTACGTGCACTTGTTTAAAGAGAAAGGATGCACTTAAATGTGATGAATTAAAAAGGGGATGCTTCTGAAGACCGGATTGGAAGCATCCTAGCTTGCTAAAATATTGAGCAAGATATATTTGAAGTTTAGGGTACAGGCCACCCATAATATCTGCCTAAGTGGACTGTAAACTTTCAATCCTACAACAAATAAGCCATGTTGAGACCCCTTTTTCTTCTAAATTTGGCACTATGGTTAAAAAGTTTCAGATTCAATTTTCTCAAAATATATATGATTCTTAAACAAGAAGTTTAAGACACTGTTTCTTTCATGGAGTTGAAAATAGGTTTTAAAACACGCTCTCTGTGTTGTTGTTTTTAAACTGAGCTTTTGCACTTTAATATGTAGCATACTGTTTTGCATCAAAACATCAACATAAGAGTCTTAACCCAGTTCCAGAAAGAAACTGCAGGACAACTGCCAAGTGAAACTGGAGTAGTTCTTTTAAGTTCTTTATGACCTTGCAAGGAAGCTTCCAAATTCAGAAAGTTTGTTTTCTTCATCAATGGTTTTATGTTAAATGTCTTCTGCTGCATTAAATGTGAATTATTATAATATATATTGTAGGAAAGGATTTTCCAAGATGTTTCTGATGGACAAGGGTTGCAGTCTTCCCAAGGGTTTTTAGGCAAAGGTTTCATAACTGGAATTGGTATCGCATGTTCACAGGTTGGAGTGTTCTTAGCCAAGAAGTTTGAGAAACTGCTTTCCATGTAACCCTCTACAATTTTAGAGGATATGTGTTATAGTACAATAGAACATTTTTTCTGTGGTGTAAAATGTGTGTGTGCGTGTGTGTGAAAAGCAAGGTTTGTTTTTATTTAGAGGTTATATATTCATAACTTAAGACTAAAAGTTATCTTCTCTTGTATTATGTGATTTCTCCCCATTGTTCCTAAATTTGTTTTTTGTCATCTACTGATGTTACAGCAATAACCAATTTCAATAATGCATAGGTGACAAATTATGTTACACATAGAGAATCTTGAAGATAAAAATCTGTGCATAATTTACATGTTCTCTTTCAGGCTACACACAAGTTATAATTCCAGTTCCATTTTTTATCTTGTAACCTTTAGGCACAATGCCAATGAAATGAAATCCCATTTATTTCAGTGGAAGATATTTCAGCATGTATTTAATATTTCTGTTCAAACTGACTGAAATTAAACTGGCCATATCACATATTTTATGGTGACTAACACTGAGCTTTGGGTACATATTTTAGGAAGGGTTCTTTTGTATTTTTGAAGAAGAGGGAATAGAATATTCTAATATTATATTAAAGAGAAATACTCCCTCTTAATGAAGTATGGGTGAATGGTCTAACAAATGAATGAACATATTGCATGTCCCTTAAGCTACACAACAGCAGAATCCTGCAAAAATCAATTGTCTGATAGCTGGAGGACATTGGTTTCCATGTGATTGCATTAGCTGGGTTGACAGAGGCTTCCAGAGCACAGATGTGTGATATGTTCTAACCTAATTAAAAAAAATCTTTATGAAAAAATGCACTAATACTGTGGCATGCATGTGTAAAAACTAATCTGACTATTTGTTAAACATATTTTTGGATTGACTTTTATGGGGAGAGAAAGGAGAAAATTAATAGAAATTCTGATGACATGCCCAAGTGTGTGTGTTTGTGTGTCCTTGTATATTTCCCAAAACCAATCTGTATAAAAGTCTCTCAGCTGACAGCTTCTGGACAGAAATGAATATTGCTATAAGGTCAAACCTTAAAGATTTAAGATGTGGTCAGTTTGTTTTATTTCATTTTTTTCTTGAACAAGTTATTTTTTGAAGCCGCAGTTTCTGGACCATTTGGGGAATTATGGACAATAAACAAAATGCAGAGAGATCTGTGTCAAAAGATGAATTTACACAATCAGAAATGATATTGTAGAAACATGTGGAGCCATGTAAATTTCTCTCTCTTTTTATAGTACCATGATACATTAGCTTGTTTTTGTAACTACAATATTTATTTTACTCTGTATAAATGTCATGGTAGTTTCTCCTGTTTTGACTTTCTCCAGGCTCCCAGATATAGGAAAAATAGGTAATTTTAGCCTATAGATTCCACTGTGGTTCAATAAAGATGACATTATTTATGTTAGTATAGTTTGCATTTCTTCCAGTTCTGTGTTAGGTTTTTAATACATTGCTCTTGTATTTTCTTGCAGATGGGGGAAAAGTGTGTTTAATGAAATAGATTTGAAGTTTATAGCTGAATATGGATATAGACAATTTAATCACTAGACTATTGTAAACCTTATATCTGTACCTTTAAGAAGAGGGCTACAGGTTTGACTAAAATGTTTTTTTTTGATGTTCTGAATTTATGTGCAGGAATACATTCTACTATTATGATAGAACTAAGCAGACTTTAACAATGTGGGGGATGTGTGTGTTAATACATGTTATACCACATCAAAATATGTGTAGAAAGCAAGCCTAATGGTTTTGCACTTTGTCTGAAGACTTTTTTTTCCAAATAGGCAATTCATGGAAAGCATATTGCAACATTGCATTTCATTTCTTTTGGAACATTCTCAGATATTCTTTTGCACAACAGAGGACAAAGCCGAGTTAGAAAGGATAACTCTAAAATTGTGTTGTCACATTTTCCCCCTGTAAACATGGTCCTTATCATATGAAAATCTTTATTCGTCCTTAGGCTCTCATATAGGTATATACTACAGCCACATATGCAATTAGTTGTATTTCTTCTCATTCAGCTTCTCTGCTTCCGTTTAATCAAATTTTATGTAAAAATGAAGCAACCTGCATGCAGATCATGGGAGATCTATTTCCTGGGGGTTTCTGATGTAATGCTAGCTAGGTAATGGTTTAGGGAGGTCATAGAAACCAGTGGATTAATTCCATGATTTAGCAAACATTCACACCTTACAGTATCTTTTATAGTCAAGGTCTTATTAATCAGCTTCTTAGCAGTGCAATAAACAAATAATTTAGCATTATACATTACTCTGTTGTACGAAGGTGTTTTGATCAGTTTACTCCCCACTGTTTGGTTTGCATTTAATGCTGCTAATCAACAAACTATGATTGATGACTGAGAGCACTGTAATGGCTCCTTTTCCTGCATTGGCATGAACAGTTTGGAGATAATTATGATTAGCATTCAATCTGCACTTATCGCCAGCAATAGCACCAAACCGAAGTTTGCATGTCTGGTTCCTACTATGACTTTTAATTACATTTTATAATTTATGTGTGAGTTATGGAACATTTCTAATTCCCAAATCATTATTTTGTGACTGGACAGCATTATATTTTGAGTGAATCATCAGCTTCAACAGACTCTGACTGTATTCCTGCACCAATAAATAAATGCATAGGTTTATCCTGCTTCCTGCAATGCTAGGATAGCTTAATAGAGTTTAGGTTTTGCTGGCATTACCTGGCTATTATTTGGGTGTTATTGACCAATGCATTGGTCCAAATATTTAAGAACTTTCTGCACAGCAGAAGCTATTTAGATATTACCTTATTTAGAAGCATACCTGAAAAGATAATGCATGAAGGTGACAGAAAGGTATCTCCAAACATTATCATACAATGGCATTTCTCAAAATGGGTAGTCAGAGGTAGATAGATAGATATCAACATGCAGTGGTATGAGTGTTGCAATTTTTTTTTTCAGTCTTCTTAAGCCTGAAAAAAAGTGGTTGCTTTAATGCGTTATCTTTAACTCATCACAGCAGCTGTATCTTTTTTCAGGTTCACATAAAAGTCTGGAAAAAAAACAGAGGCACTACACTCACGCACTTGCAGGAAAAAAGAAAAGATTTCCCAAACTTGGGAGTAACCATCATACATTATTTCCCTAGTCCCAAGTAGGCAAATGTATAAGTATGTTAGAATACTCAAAGATGACCCTCATATTCAGATAGGTTTCACAGACTGGTATGGAATATTTATTGATTTCTTTCTGTATTTACTGGACTTCAAAGTGACCCTTTGTGGTTTCCACAAAAACAACAACAAAAAACAGTTAATACAACTGATTGATTATGTGCCATCAAGTTTGTGTTGACTGTTGGAGACCACATAGATAGATTTTCTCCAGGGACACCCAACCTGATCCTTCAAGTCTTCCAACAGTGCACCCAGTGCACTCTTTTCTTTTTTCCTGCAAGTGCGTGAGTGTAGTGCCTCTTTAAAGCAGCAATGCTTTTTTTCCAGACTTTTATGTGAACCTGAAAAAAGATACACCCAGTCACATTGCCACTGTAATTAAGTCCATCCACCTTGCTGCTGGATAATCCTCTTCTA